TCACAGAGGGCTGAGTGATACTAGCAATCACAGCATTGTAAGAGGGGACAGTTGAACCTGGAGGCTCCACCCCTGTTTAATGATGGACGGTGTCTTTTCACAAAGATGATGGTTTGAGAGAGGAGTAAAGGAGGCCATCAACAAATTTATCAAAAAGAAAAACGCTGAATGAAAAGGGTACAGAAAGAATAAAAATTCTTATAATATCTGCCCCTTATTTAAAAAAATACAAAGTAACTAGAAACAACCTTCACTTGAACTCTGCAAACTGAAAAGAAAAAGCATCATCCTTCACCTGGCGCCATAACTTCCCAACAACTTTAACTTAATCATCATTTATTAATCTTTATAATCCCGGGATTAATAAAGTGTCCCTCTGGTTCTATCGATCTAAAATGTGTTGGACTCCTGGCGGGACCAGTGCAGACATGTTCCTGTTTTTAAGTTTATACATTCGTCTTAGAATCCAGCTGGTTTTGTTTTTCTGCCCATCTTATTTGTAATAAATAAATAAATAAATAAATCTGTATGCCTTTTTATAACTGTCCATTGTTGTCATCGTTCTTTGTAAAAAGCAGTAAATGAGTCCTTGAGGATTAACCTGGAGAAATAAAGGTTGAAAGAAAAACACCCTTAATCTGAAATCCGGAAGCACGTGCAGAAGTGTTTCCGGGGTAAAGTGTTATTTATTTACTGCAGCTTCGGCTAACGGTGCTAACAGAGAGTCGCTTTTAGCTTCCGTCAGGGAAACGTTCAGCCGGTTAATCCAGAACTTTATGCTCAACTGAACCGGAAGTTGTGTTTAATCTTCATCTCTGACGACATGATGGTTCCGCCCGTCGAGTCTCATCTGGACCAGAAGGTTCTGCAGTACGAAGCGTTCATCGGCGATGTTCTGAGGAGAGATCTACAGTAAGAAACACGGCGAGTTCCGCCTTCTCGTTGCGTGACGGACGTTTAGTGTTCGAGCCCGCAGTTCAGACACGAGAAGAATCAAATCTGACCTCCCTTGAGCCTGACGCACAGAATTTTAACCCACAACCCACAGCTTCAACCCACAGCTTTAATCCAGAGTTTTTCAAATCCAGAGTTTTTAACCCATGGTTACCTGTCAGTGGGCGGGGTCTTCCAGGCCCCGTGAAAGTTCTGAATTGATTGATTGATTTATAGATTGATTGATTGATTGATTTATAGATTGATTGATTGATTGATTTATAGATTGATTGATTGATTTATAGATTGATCGATCGATCATTTCGTGCTCTAATTGTCTGAGATGCAGCTGTAACCAGACCCAAACTGAGGAGCCGGATCAGAACCTTCTCCACACCTGCAGCTCTGTGGGATGGTCCTGGTCAGAACCACAGCTGGTCAAGAGAAAACGAAACCATCCTGGACCGACTGGTTCTGATCCAGTAGAGGAAACGGTTTGCTGCTGGTTCTGCCTCCCACTTCATTGTTTGGTTCTGTGGAGCTGCAAACGGGTCAGCGATCGTCAGAACTGGTTCTGGTTGTTCTGGGAGTAACGAGTGATGGTCATCAAACCGTCAAAGGTCCGACAGGCCAAAGAGCCAGAACCAGATGTGTAGATGTCCGGAGAACAAAGGTCGATGATTCCATGTTTCTGTGAAGTTCTGAGTCCGGACCAGGAGCTTCTTCAGGATCTCTGATAACTAAGGAGAGCTTGGAATGTCTGGAAAGAGAAAAGGTCCAAACGGGTCTTTGTTCTACAGCAGCAGAACTCTTGTGTCTGTTTGGAAAAGGCTCTCGTGCTGTCAGCACATCTGTCTGGTTCCGTGAGCAGCTGGAGCGGACACGAGACCGCAACGATGACGACGGCGACAACCGTCAACAACGACCTCGAGTGGCTTCACTTCTTGTCCATCCTCACGAGGAGAGCGCTGCGAAACTGCTGAACCTTAACAGGGTCGTTTCCTCGAGCCCTGACCCGCAGTTTTTATTTGTAATTTCTGGAAAGGGTTTCAAACGGGCCGGTGGAAAGTTCTGTTGAGCTGTAGGTTCTCCTGCAGGCAGGATGGTAAACGGTCTGCTGCTGTTTCACAGGAAGGTTCTGGAGCAGAGGGACCAGGTCTATGAGAAGACCTCCCAGTACCTGCAACTGAAGAACACCATCCAGAGCCTGCAGGTACCAGTTCCCCGAACAGAACCAGCTGTTCCTGCTCACAAAGATGGGTTGTAAGGAAAGATGTGCCACTCTGTCGGGATTTTCAGCTTCAACTTGGTCTGATTCATGTTGAAACACATTTTTGTACATTTTGATTGTAAAAAATATATATATGTATATTTTTCATAAAAGTTAGAAAATGTATTACAATTTTATTGTAAATATTCATCTTTAGATTTTTTCTTTTGTAAATTTAAACATTTTATTAGAGATGGTTAATTTATTTTGTGCGTATTCTTTGAAAATACAAATATTTTCTTATTTCCCTTACTAGGGGCCATTATGGTCGTCTGTCATTGTGATGATGATGTCACAGTGATGTCATTGTGTGTTCCTGCAGGAGGCGGAGTCTCAGCAGCTGAAGGCGGACGTTGATCTGGGCTGCAGCTTCTTCGTCCAGGCTCAAGTGTGAGTTCCTGTCAACGCCGTCGCCCCTCGCCATGAACGGCGGGTGATAATCTAATCATCTGTGTCTGTTAGCAAAATATCTCATGAAGCTGTGGACAGGTTTTAAGGAAAGTCTCAGGAAGTGACCAGCATTTACAAGTAATAACATTTGGAGTGAGCATCGGTCAAGATGGCCGCCACATTTTTACAGAATGGAGCTCACGGTTGGTAGTAGCTGAGAGTCGCCATCTTCGTCTAAGGTTTAGCCGACCGCTGCCAGGTTCCTTCAACAACGTCTAAAGTTAGTGAAAGCAGCTGAGGCGCTCGGCTGGCGCGCACGTGTCTGTGCACGTGTCCGTGGTCCTGAAACCCGTTTGCTTCCGGGTCAAACCGGTTCTCTTCTTCTTCCCCGGCAGCGCTGACTCGTCCAGGATCTTCGTGGCCGTCGGCTTCGGGTTCTTTGTGGAGATGACGCACGCCGAAGCTCTCCGGTTCATCGACAAGAAGACGAGTCAGCTGACGGCGTAGGTTCACGACCGTCACCATGGCAACACCTGCACACATGACAGGAAGTGTCAAACCAGGTTTCCTTCAAAACAAAATGCTAAAAAAATACTCAATTTAAATAATTTTTTTATTTTTGTGGATACATTTCAAATAATTTTACATCCGTTTACATTTTTTAAGTTAAAATATTTTACATTTGTAAATTTTTTTTTTAACACAAACTACTAAAATAATATATTTAAATAAAAAACATAATTCAATTCATTTTATTAAGTGCTGAGTTTAGATTTATTTTATTAAAAGCAAAACACTGTAATATTAGTTTCAGTTTTAAATAAAGTTCAGACACTGAATCAGGATGTTAGCTCAATGCTAGCTGCAGTAATGAATGGGAGATGCTAACTGTGCAAACTGTGCTAACTGTGCTAACTGTGCAAACTGTGCTAACTGTGCAAACTGTGCAAACTGTGCTAACTGTGCAAACTGTGCTAACTGTGCAAACTGCGCTAACTGTGCAAACTGCGCTAACTGTGCAAACTGTGCTAACTGTGCAAACTGTGCTAACTGTGCAAACTGTGCTAACTGTGCTAACTGTGCAAACTGTGCTAACTGTGCAAACTGTGCTAACTGTGCAAACTGTGCAAACTGTGCTAACTTTCTGCAGCGTCACTGAGCAGCTCACCAAAGACTCCGCCAAAATAAAAGCCAACATCCGCATGGTTCTGGAGGTTTGTTACTTTTATTTTGGTAATGACTTTTACTGTGAAACTCTGACTGGTTTAGTTTAGTCAGGAAGTGTCTTATTCTGGAAGTCCTGGCAGACCCATTAGGAACCAGACCTGTTTAAGGACGCGGTTAGAACCGGTCCACTAGAACTGGTCCACAAGTCCAGAGTCAGGTGTTGAACAGAGACGTTCTCCTCTGTGGTTCCGGAACGGTCCGGACTGAGACCGGCTGAATTTTATGGAGACCCTGTCCATGAAGAATCTGATTGATCCTCCCTCCTCTTCCTCCCACTTTGCCTTCTGCTCCTCCCCCTCTCCCTCCTGTTTCTCCTCCCTCCATCTCATGTTCGTGCTGATGTTTGACGTAATGGTTTTATGTTATTGGTGTTTATTTACTTGATGTTTTTCTTAGTTCATGTCTTTGATCTTGTTACTGGTTTTATTTTACATTTGATTGTTGGATGTAACTGGGACCCTGTGTTCATAATTTTGTTCCACCACATGTACCACATGAGGTGGGACACAATAAAGAATCTCTGACTCCTCCCCCCCCCTCCAGGGTCTACGGGAGCTGCAGGGGCTCGGTGACCTCCCTGAACCCCAAAGAGGAGACGTGTTCTGAACTGGTCCAGGTGTTGGTCTTCAGGTCAGAACCGAGCCGTGGACGTTGTCTTCAGAGAGCAGAAGGACATTGTGGACAGAAGTCCCACAGGATGTCCATGTCAGTGAGAGACCTTCAAAATAAAAGGCAACAAGGAGTGTTATTTAATGTAAATTTGTTACAAATGTCTTTTTATTTTCCTATAAACATCTGAAATAATGACTTTTTTTGTTTGTTTGATTTATTTTATGAAGAGTTAATTTCAACGCGTGTTTTATTTTGGAAGAAGTCACAACAATAGAACGAGCCCATCAGAACCAGGTCAGGATTGATCCGGTCTCAACAGTGAATTCATCCATGTCCACTTTTCAACACATTTTAAAAACGGATCATCTCAGCAGAACCTGATCCAGGTCAGAACCTATGTGACCTTTGACCCATTGACAGAGCAGAGGTCAAAGGTCATGTTCCTTCATGCATCTAGATTTTAGTTTATATTTTGAGTTCTGACCTATGGTGTAGAGATTAAGGACTTGGTAATAGTTCCTCAAAATCCTGTTCTGTCCGACCATTTTTTAATAACTTAGAGTTTACATTAAATGACTACACAGTCACTGAGAGTAAATTTCATCTCAGCAGGTGCTTATCAGAAAATGCTGTAACCAAATTTAATCAATCTCTTCCATCAATGTTTTCCTCTGTCTTGCAGAGTAATGCATCAGAGAACAGAGACTTAGATCATCAACTAGATGATCTAAGTCTCTGTTCTCTGATGCATTACTCTGC